TAGCCTAGCACATACTATTATTAATAATATGAATATTATTATTAATAATAGTATTGATAATTAAATTAATAATCTAATACAAAAATGGTCCCTTTGCATATTCTATCAGGGTTAATGAGGTGTATCTTTACCTACAAAAAATAGGGTTATGATTCCCAATTTTCAAGAAATGAGATTAGAAGTGTTATTTTGCTCTGTGTTCTCTTTTATACATCCGTAACAAATATTCTTGTCTTTTAAACCAATCTACATACATTCACAACTCTATTCTTGCTACTTCAATTCTTCTATTATTTAAACCATTACAAACAATGAAAAAGGTACAAAATCTCTGGATGCTCCATATTTCACAGTTCTTTATGCAAGAACATCTATCAAATACTTGTTTGTAATCCTATGGAATAAAGCTCTTAACTGGTTTGCTCAGTACTGGTCTGACAACTTTTAGAATCATGGGATGGTTTGGTTTGGAAGGGACCTTAAAGATCATCTAGTTCCAAGCCCCCTGCCATGGGCAGGACACCTTCCACTAGACCAGGTTGATCAAAGGCCCATCTAGCAGGGATAAGGGACACAACTGGACTTCTCAGAAGGATCATTCTCTGAAGGACACTCTATAAAACATTTAATGAGATACTAAGTATCCTTTTAGTCTTCTTTCATCTTCTTACACATTGTTGGTACCACTTTCTGAAGTTTTATGTAAGAATCTTCTTTGTGGCAACCTGCTAAAGGTTAAGAGACAGAATGCCGTAAGTAGAACAAAATCCCCAAGGAGGATGTAATATTCAGCAGAAGGGAATTTCTGGCTGCAAGTAAAGTAGTAATGTCTTAAAGACCTTATGGTGGGAGGAGATATTGCTCCCTGCTGTGCTGGTTAGGGGATGGGACAGAGGCCACAGCCGTCTGTCCTTCTAAGCTGATGATCCCTATTTTATCAAAGTGTAGGATATCGGCTGCTGCTTACAGTTGGAGTGGGGTGATATACTGTCTAGCACAAAAGACTGGGCTACTGGGCACATTTTCTGTACAGCCTTTTTGTATTTCTGCAAGCAGCATCAGGACAGATTTTTTCTTGTTGCTCAAGGGCTTGACCTAGAAAGACGACAGCTGAATTTCCCTGGAGGAGGGTGAAATAAGAAGAATGGAGTTAAGGTCCTGGGAAAAAAGAAAAATGAAGACAGTGGAGTTTGGAAGAGACAAATAAAGAAATTAAACCAAAAAACCCCGTGCAAATTAGGTGAAATACACCTAGTTCATGGCACCTTGTAGAAGACATTAACTGACAGTGTTGTCAACTGTCTCGTGTGGTGTTTCACCCTTGTGTAAGTGGAAAAGAAGGAAAGGAGGAGAGAATCTGGAAAAACATATAAAGACCAGAAAAAGCCCACAAAGAAACCAGGAGAGGTATAAGGAAAACTAAATCATGGCAATTGGAGTACTATGCCTTTTAAAAATAAGTTTATTTTAAAAGTATAGGAAAATAAAAATACAACATAAAAGTTATTTTTTCTCCTTTTCTTGCAGTCTTAGCCTGAGACGACCTTTTTTACAAGCTCTGCTTCATAATTTTAAAATAATAAGGGGCTTATAGGCATTTATATGCATATTCCATTTTTACTAGCAGAACATAGAATATTTAATGTACTTATTTTCAGACAATTCTAACTTCAATATAGAGACTGATATTCTAAAATGCTTGTGTCTAGGAATTTAGACCCAGGCACTATAATCTGCATCAGTGAAAGATAAGAAAAAACCCAGAAATATAACTATGATTGTTTTGCAAGAGGGAAAAGCATGTAGACCATAGTGGAACTTGATAATGGAGGAGAAAGAATTAGATCCTTATGCAGATCTTCTGTATCCTCACTGCAAACATCTTTTAGGATGACTTGCTATGTGAGTATACCCATTGCACGTACCACAGTTTTTAGGACAAAATTTTTCCCCCAAAGGTGTATTTGAAGCTTTGTTCATCCAGATTGACAGTGTCTCCAATTTTCTCAGTTATAAATTATTATTACCATGACATGAAGGCACTAACAGTAAGTTTTTTTAAGAGATTTATCCAGCGCTTATAGATCACAAAACCATATTGTGAAACTATACAAGTGGAAAATTGGAGAGAAGGAAATTTATACTGTACTTCCAAATTCTGACACCACAGCATCACTCCTTTGCATTGGAGTAAGGAAAAATCACCAAAACTTTGAGCCATCTGATTGAATTCTACTTAGGAACAGAACCAAACAATGTTGTCAGTGTAAAATGGAGAACACTTGGTTACAAAAAGATCAAAATTGAAAAGCATTTGTAGGTCAAGACTGAGCTGTAATGAGCATGTTCTTGTTGCCCAATTTTAATGAGTGAGTTTTTGAAAGAGAAGGAGAAACTACTGATGAGAACTGGCTGCCATACAATCCTGTGCCTCCACTATTACTTCTCAAAATGGTATTAGGGGATTGTTATTTTTTATTGTGACAGCGGACACGTGTAGTCCTTTCATTCAGATTGATAGAGCTAAATCTGCAGACTCACTCCTCCACCAGTTAAAAAACCTCCTTGCTTGCTCCTATAGTGTCATTTGGATAAGGATAAATAATGTATCCCACCATAAGAATAGTTGTTCAGAATGTCCTAATGCTTGCTGAAACTAACATAAAAGTTCCAAAACCTGCCTCACTGCAAGTTTAAAATACCCAAAGGGAGATGAAAGGAAGATATTGCTGAGTAATGTACTCTTGCAATAATTTTCCCTTCTTCCCCTGCCGTTGCTTGAAATTGAAACCATTGTCTCAGATGATGAAGCTCTCTGGCCTTGCAGGTTTCTGAATAAGCCTAGAAAATGCTTCATTACAACGTAAAATGATAGCATGTGGACACTGCCGTGATACGTGATTGCTTAAGATTGCCTTTTCTTATTGTTTTCACAGAACGATCTCAGTGGAAAAAAATCTTACAGAGCAAGACTGGTTTCCTTCTTAAGCTACTGAACTCTATTAGAGTCAATTAGAGTTTTCATGTATCTCACAGACTGATCTACATAATAGGTTACATCAGGCTACGCCATCCCTTACTGACCTTTGAGAACAAAAGTCTAAAAGCCAGTCTGCTTTGGACTTTGATTTTTTTCTTTTTTTTCCCCCTGAATTTAAAAAATAGTCTAAAGACGTATTTCACTCCAGCTGTGAGGTAGGACTCTCAAAAGAGGATCCAAATGGATCCAAAATTTGATCTTTCCTTACCTTAAAATGTTGTGTTGAAGTGTAGTGCTGGGAGTTTCTATTATACAGATTTTACTCACTTCATTTATATGAGAGTAATGGTTTGTTGGGCTGACAAGGATCTTTAAGTGTCATGATAGTCTGAAAATTTAGATTAACAGAAAAGGTAATTTAATGTTCTACTATGCCCTCCTTTCCTTGAGTGACTCATTATAATTACTGATAATTCATGATATCAAAACCTATCCATCTCTTTTAGATCCTTGATTCCGATTCTCAGTTTCTAGAGACAAAATTACTGCAAACAGTGAAGAATTAACGCCATCTGCTAATACTTGGTGCACTAACACACCAGTTGGCCAAAATCATCTTGTCATTTCTCCATCTCCAGCTGTGTAAAGCAAATACAATCTTTTCCCAAACATTCACCCTAGTACAAATTGCTGTGGGATTTTTTTCCCAGTATTGCAGAAAAAAATTGGATAACCTCTCCCTGTTTTAAGTATGTTTCAGTAAAAAATAAGCTCCTGGTGAGGGATAATTGTCTTTAGGAAGAAGCCAAAAGACATAAACACACTCTGTTACTTGTACACACCTGATTTTTCCTTTGCAGAACCTTTCTAGGAAAAAATTTCAGTTACTTGCTCAGATCATGAAGAAGGCAACATGGTCTCTGATTTGAACTAACAATATTGTTAAACCATAAATAAACAAAACTAAATAAAATATCAAAATCCAACCCTGGTTTGATTCAAAACAAACCATGGCCATTGCACAGCATATCCCACTTTTAATAAGGGGAAGCTCATTTTATGTCATAGATCACTGCTCAGCCATTTCCTGCAGTGGCTGTCTTTTGTCACTATAGCCTAAAAAGAAGGCTAAGAAGTAAAGTGTATAAACTAAACTGTTATAAAAGTTTATGTGTCAAGGATTCTTTTTACAAAACTTTCTCTCTCTATGCAGCTTTTGATGTCTGAGTCTAAAAGAGCAGTGGTCAACTTTATAAAAATCAATCACTAGCTTTTTTTCCACTTATGGGAGGTGGTATTAATAATTTTTTTAAAACGTTAAAAGACATTAAAAAGGGCCTGACAAGACCAAATTTTGCAACCAGGTACTCTTGAGAATTACAACTTATTTCCTACTTAAGAAAGAAGATAACTGTATAGCTATTTCAATAGCCATTGTGCAAGTCAAGACATAGTTACTTATTATCTACAAAAGATGTATGTTAAAATAAATACATTTTAGTGTTTGATTACTTCTTTTGCACATTTTAACTATATGCAATACGAGTCATAGAAACAGTAATATACTGCTATCTCATTCAGCCTAAAGTTTTATTTGCCTCAAGATAACAGAAGGCACGATGGAGAAGTTTGTTTACAATGAATTTTCACTATCCCATGATGCACATCATGATAGGTTCTCTAGAAGAACAGGTTTTCTGCAATGTGTGTGTTTTGTGCAATTTCTATTAGCTATATTTAGGACTGCAGATATATCTGATAAGTAAAAATACGTTTCCTAATAGAATGCATTCCAGATTACCATCTTACCTTACACTGAAGGGCAGGAGCAGAACAGAACTTTTATATATGGCAAACCATACATTGGGTTCAGTTGTAAATGAACATTAAATGTATTTTAGACAGTTCATACTAACAACCTCTTTCTATTAAGATGTTTACTTTCAGTGAAAAGCACAATCAAGCATGCAATATGTTTACCAATACAAGAATAAAAAGAAGAATAAAAAAAGTCATTAACCTCTTCTTCAACATTATGGGCGATTCCATTCTGCACTGGTCCCGAATCACTTGGTGGTGTTACTGCAACTTCCACTTTTGCACCTTTTTCTGTGGCATCGTCCATAAATAAGAGTGGGAAAACAACAGATCAGAATATTAAATAACAAATCTGCTGGTGAAACAACTGTCATATGTCTAGTCTGAGTAAATCATCAAATACTAAAGGTGGGCCAACATCTGCTTTTAAAAGAGAGAGACAAAAATTTTGTCTTTAATTTGATTAGTACACATTTTGAATAAAAATCTTATGAGTGGTGAGCTAGCACTTGAAAAAACTATTTTATTGGCACTCACTCATGCCCTAGAAATATTTAAATGCATTGCAATATTCAGTGCTCTTTGGTTATTCATAAACTAACTGAGCCTAATACTTGAGGTAAAAACTGACATATAGCATTCACCGCAGACATTCTAGAATGCAACATGTTGCATTTACAGGTGAGGGGATATGTTCAATGATATAACTTCTGTAACACACTAACCCCTGCAATTAGTAAAGTTACTTCCAAGCTGTAATCGTGCTGTCTCTCATACAAAAATGTGTTTAAAAAAGTAAACAGATGCTATAATAACATCCAATAACAGCAGATGATTTTTAAAACAGAATCCTGTAGTCCTTGTGCTAAACTTCTACTGGAATTAAAGGGATAAAGTTGGGCCTTTGATTTCTGATGCCAAATTTATTCAAATTTATTCTTACTTTGACTATCTTGGAATTTTCTAAGCAATAATTACCTTTAAGTAGGTACTACATAAAAATGCCAATGACCAAAAATCCCTTGGACAATATAAAGTAAAGCGGAATAGCAATATGAAATCTCTAACTCAAATTCAACATGCCTTATGGTATGCTCATGTGCATAAAAGTAAATACAGCTGTCTAGTTACATAACTGCTATCCTGAGATTCTTCTAAATTAAAAATCTGAGATTACAGCCACAGCGAAGTGCCAGACTATCTGTAATTATTTCAGTATATGTGTGTTGTCTCTTAACCCCACAGCCAGCATTATGGTTTATTAACAGACTGTCCCATCCAACTGCCTGATTTTGGAAGCAAATCTTATGTAAACGTAACACAAAGTCAGAAAAAGTGTCAAGTAATAAAACTATTCAGATTTTATTGGACAAATTTGTATGTGGTTTTCTAAGGCTGAGAATGTGCTGAGGTAGAGAAAATAGGACATAGTACAGATTTTCTTTTAGCCGAGGAACTTTTGAGCTAAAATACAAATTCTTACCTTAATGGAAAACCACAGTAAGCCAATTCTGCACCATTAGCGAAGATGGGCCTAAATGACTCCCAGCAAGTAGTATCTTAAATCTTAAATATGAAGGCTGATTCTTTTTGTGACCAGGCTGGTAATACATAAAACACATATTCTCCTAGAGCAGCTCAGTAAATTAATTAAACTTTCATATATAAACTGCAAATAAGTTTTGCCTGTCTATTTCTGTCACTTCAACATATATCTAAAATCAGCATTTCTTTTTGTTTTCAACCTACCAGGAAGCTTTCTATATGCCTTGACTGACTTTCTTTTCTTGTACTCAACTCCTATCCCATCCATAAATAGGACAGAGAATCAGAATATTTCTACTAGAATAGCATAAATGATGTAGAAGGAGAAATTAATGTCTAAGGATTTTCAAACAAAATAAAGCAGTGAAAGCGACTCTCAGGAACAGGTGATAAATCTGTACTGCTGCACTCACCATGATTAGCAGCTCCATTCTGCCTTTCACTGTCTTCTACCTGGCACTTCTTTTTGGCGATCTTATGCAGAATTGAGGCCCTTTCCTTGAACTTTCCTAAAAGAAAGCGTTGTCGTTATTAAAACGCAGCCATTTTGAGAAGCAAAGTTTCTTTGCCATAGTGTAGACTCCAAAGATCAGTGACGACAATCCATTTCAGTTGCTCCTCAAACAGCAAACATGCTATTAAACACTATCTCATGTTCCCATCTATAGGCTTTCTTTCTTTTTAGAGGAAATAAAAATTTAGCCTTTTTTTTTCTTAGAATTCAGTAACAAATAGAACAAGAAATTGAAAACAAAAGCTATGATTTTCTTTGGAAGAAGTCAGTAAAGTTCCACCTGTAAACATGCTGGTGTAAGAATTCAGCCCAAATAGAAGATGAATACAGATGAATAAAGATATAAACAAACACAAAGTTTCAATTCTCAACTAGTAGGATAGTAACACAAAATTTCAGATTAACCCATATATTGCATCATAGTGACTGTGGTCAAATTTGTCACTTTGCACTATGTGTCTGTGATTTCTACAGGTACTTCAGAAGGGGAAGAACAAACGTCCACAATACATGATTTTCATATCAGGTTCTCAAAAGTAAACTTTCTTCTAAACCTGTCAGGGTTTTTTTTGTCTTCCATGAGGTTAACCATGCAGCTCATCCTCTACATTGTCTCCAGGACAACACATTCTACCATAAGAGAGGTCCCAGCTTCTGTCAGTCTTTATTGACCACTGAGTCCAAATGACATGTTCAAACTTAGCAATGTCAAAGATGTCAAATATTAAGTGAAATGAATCCTTCCTCTGCATTGGTTGATCTTTCTATGTAGGGACTTTTTGGACAACTTTATGACAGCCTATGTTTTGTATAAAGATGATGTATCTGCCTTCATTTATTGTTATCCCCATTGCTATTGCACTTTTAGTATTTTAAAATATTTTTTGAAAGTTTAACTGGTGGCTATCATACAGTATGCTTCTAATTAAGAATACTATTACAACACAGGGTCTGTGGCTCTTTTAATTCTTCATCTCCACGTACAAAAATGCACTGAAAACTGTTGGTGTCCCTGCAGCAAAACCAGCACAGACTTAAGACCAAAAGATATTTCAGTAGAATTATATAATAGACTAACACTGGAAAGGAGAAGTAAGAAGTCATGAATGAATTCAGTTATGTGGATAACAATCACTAGTTTCCAAGCTAAAATAAAAGACACACAAGAATAAATCATTAGTCAAGAAAGAAGTCCCTCCCCACAAATGGAAGTTTCAAACCCCTATACCCATACTTGTATATGTGAAGAAGCGTATACCCAGGGACTAGCAGCCGGGAATTATTCACCAGGAAGTGGAACTAATTTCTCAACAGCAAGCCACTTGGAAAGTAATAAAAATACCACAAATATTTAACAAGCAGTACTTCCTTTCCGCAGTCCTTATCTTTCACAAACACATCGTGCTCCAAAAAAAAAATTACCCATTCACAATATTTTGCAAATATTAATCTTCTTTGGCACCTAGAGTAAAACACTTGCAGAAGAATATCTAAGCACAGAACACAATCATAAATAGCAAGGCATCTTGTTATTTCAGCACACAGGGTCAGAGGCAGATGTTTTAGTTAGAAGGGGAAGAAGAAACAAAGGGTTAAAGAAAGAAAAAGAGAAGGAAGGAAGGGAGAGAGAGAAGGAAGGGAGGGAGGGAAGGAAGGAAGGAAAGAAGGAAGGAAGGAAGAAAGGAAAGAAGCAAAGAAAGAAAGAGAAAGGAAGGAAGAAAAAAAGAAAAGGAAGAAAGAAAGGGAATTGTATGGGATATCAGATAAGAGAAAGAAAACCCAGAAAAAATGCAAATCATTATTTCCAAATATTTGAAGCCAAAATGCTAGGAGTAATGGCTGCTCCTAACTTCATTTGAAATACTGGGGGCATTTAAAAAGTGCTTATCCATAAGAATGTGTAAATACTAACAGGTGCCTGTTGTAATGTCAGTTTGCTAAAGGATTGTGCTAGCTTTCAGACTCCAACTCAGCTTCATGTGTTTGAGAATTCAGCTTGTGATGCCCCAAATAATAATAATAATAAAATAATAATGGCCAGTCTTCACGAACGAAGATTTGGGGAAAGGTCTTTTACCTTTCCAGCCTGCGCAATGGATTTTTTAGGTGAGACACAGCCTGCGCTGAACTGAGCCCACCCTTTAATCCTAAGGTTCATGTGCCGGGGCCAAGCAAGCTTGGACAATGGCAGTGAGGTCCTCAGGACGTAGGTTTGTTTAGAGTGACCTTCTCATAGATGGATGGCCTCACAGGGCTAATGAGCTCCATCTGCCCGGGGGACCAGGAATCGAACCTGGGTCGCAGCGGTTAGAGTGCCGCATGCTAACCACTAGGCCACCAGGGGTCCTGATGCCCCAAATACACAAATGCATTTTTTGCAAACAATGAAGATGATGCAATTTTCTAAGAAATGCCTGTGGAACCATCCATGTCTCCAACTACTCCAGGATGCTGTAGAACCTTTCAATTAAAGGTTGAATTTTAAAAATTAATTAATATGATGCAGAATTCTATAAGGATATTCTAGTATTTTGTTTGAGATTGTTTGAAACTGTTTAGGTTAGCAATTATTGAACTGAAAAGAAAATGCCTCCACAGAGATTCACACTGGTTTAGATTAGCTTAATTGAATATGTCCTTCATTTTTTTCACATTTACGAAAACCTCTCACCATCTTTAGGAAGAATTTCTTACATTGACTTTTAGCAATTGTAAGTTACACCACTTCATTCAGGACACTGTTGAACAGTTGTAAGTCACTGTCATGGAAATTAACATCAACATTTGAAATGGAAAATGTATTTTGGTTTATTTTTATTTCCCAGTACATGCATTGTTCAGCTTACATTGCTTTATATCATTACTTTCCATTTGGTTCACTCAGTGTAGGTTACAAAAATGAGAGAAAATGATTTAAAGACATTATCGACCATCAAAAACATTAAACTGAGGAAAGCAATAGTACTAGCCTGCATCAAGACAGTGAGATATAAAAAGACAGCAGAGCTATGCTTTCTCCCTCCCTTTTTTGGCCATTTTCCTCCTTTAAACCAAATCAAAACTTGTTGAGTGAAAGGGGAAGCACAGAGCCACCAGGAGAAATGACCAGAAATTTCTAAGTAATTGAAATTTTCAGAAAGCCACTAAGGTCAATCTTAGGCACAGATCTTCTCTCATGTCTTTTTCCTTATCTTTAGCTGGGGTAAATAAAATAATCCACAGGAATGCTGTAGGTTTTATTTCTAGAATACTTCTAGAATAATTTATTTCAGTCCTCTTTAATAGTCCTATGTACTGTGGGGTTGACTACCTAATTCTCATACTAGCTGTTACCATGAGAGTTTAGGTGAATGAAAATGCTTGATCCTATGGACCTAAAGTAGAATAAATTGCTATAGAAAATTCTTAGTTAATCTAGGTTTACTGAACTTCAACAGATTTTGCAGCTCATTTTGGTTTGCAAAGAATTGGGTGGAAGGAAGAGGAGAACAAGGCCAGGTGATAAGCAAAGAAGGTAAATTAAAACTAAATTAGTTTTATTTGAATATATACAAACAAATCAATGTTGTGTAATGTAGATATGCCGTGATTTGCATGAGTAACTCCAGCTGGCATCAGTTGGCAGAGATTCTCCTTCTGATAAAGGATATATTAAAAAGCCAATCCTTTAACTGCAGCCTAAATTGCAGACTGCAAATTCCCTGGGTCAGAAAAGTCTTCGATTTGATGAGAAAATAGTTAGTCTTCAGAAATTTACTCTTGGTCATTAGGCTGTATCTAATTGAATGTTGCAGCCTAACCATTAATTTTTGTCCCTGATTGCTGTGATATAGCAGCAAGAATAAATGAGCCTGTGTTTCTCTACTGGAGGACAGAAAGACTACTCCCTATCTCCACTCAGGGCTTGAGGACCTGGACTTAAGGATGTATTTTATTAGAAAAAAAAAGAACAAACACTGGGTTTGTAACTGGATCTATGTGTTCCTGTGACTAAGTTGCTGTACAAAATATATAAAAACCTCAGTCCAAAGAAGAAAAGGGGAAATGCAAATAAGTGTGATGCAGAGTAATAGCGATTATACTTCTGTAAATCAAAACACAAAGTACAAAATGTAGCACACTTTGATCGAAATACAGTGGGATACACTATTCACTACTTGCTCTATGAAAGACAAGTGAAAATGATGAAAATAGTTGCTCTTGAGAAGGTAAACTATCATAGACTCTTGTGTTAGTATTTCTAAAGGCAAAGAGCTTCCTTTTTGGTTTTGTTTCTGGATTTTTGCTGTTGCTACAGTGTAGTCCTGAATTATTTATTCATGAGAAATGCTTTCTGAGATAATATTGAATATTAACAGCATTACTTCTGCATAGGTACAGTAATAATAGATATATATGTATGTATCATAATTTGGTAGGTGTTTCCTCACAAATAAATACATGTAATTGTCAATAGATATTTATGAATTTCAGAAGGCTACTTTTGAAATAGTAGATTTAATACTTCACCATAAAAATTAGAAATCTTAAAATATCCAGGTAAGGCTACAAAGAGAAATTACCTTTGTATCTTGATTGTAATGAAGACTGAGATGAAACATACTGCAAAAGCTTTAGCTCTGGTGGCCGCATCTGAGTGGCCCAGGATAATGGCTCATTTCAGGTTCTCCAGAGGTATATTTAAACAACATAGACATCACTGTTTGCCTGGTTAAATCTTCTCTCAGATATCTTTTCTTATATTGGTGCCACCCCTATGTACTAGATACTTAATCTGGAAAATGGAGGGCAGCGAGGCAAGACTGCTCTATGAGCTCAGGCCTGCCTCAGGAGAAAACAGCATTTTCCAACATCAGGCACAAAGGTAAAAGGAATTGTCTTCCACAGACAGCCCCAGAATAGTATGGTTATATTCGTGTATCAACAACAGATACAGAAGATGGGAAATAGAAGTTATTACTTCCCACCCTTCCGACCCCAACCCAAGAAATGATTAAGAGTAAGTCATGTAATGAAGGTTCACTTAAAATCCTCAAGATTAATCTACTAACTGTGTATTCAAAACCGAGAATTAAACTATTTGCCTCAAATTCCCAATATTAAAAATAAGTAGGAATAGGTGGCTAAACTTCTCTACAGGGCTAAAACTTATCCCCATATGCAAACATGCTGCTAATTACTAAACTTAGCATAATGAAAACATAATAAGAGAGCTGGACAAGAGGCCTTGATCCTACAGACAATCAGGTCTCAGTTCAGGGACAATTCCAAACTATAGTAATGCTGACTGCACTAGCACTAAAAGCATGTGTTGGAAATTTAGTGCACATTTAACTGCTTTCCTGAATTAGTATAACAAAACTGCAATGCTTTTGAGTCAGCAGAAAAATTTCCCAAGACTTCATTGAGCCCTGATTCAGGCCCTAATTACTTCCTTCTTGTATTGCTAGAATCAGGATTTAAAATCGCATATTTTTTGCATTGCAATTAAGCATACTCCAGGAATAAGCATGCTTAGTTTTTAAAGTTTGTTCATTACTTTTGAATAATACAGTAAACTGAAGTCACTTAGCAATTGTTCTCCGAGTGATTTAAACACCCATATATTAATTAATCTTCTTGAATGCATTGTAAAACATGGCATCAAATAAGCATCTACAATCTATATTATTCAGTACCACATAATTTGGGAGTATGGTTCTGCATGTATGTTCTTCACTAAAAGCATTCCATTGTATTTCCTTATCTGAAATAGCAGAACTGAAATATTGAAAATAAAAACCTTAAAAAGAGTCATAACGGATTGCGCTGTCAATGAAGACATGCAAAAAGAAGTTATTAAAAAATGGAGAAACTGAAAATAGGACTAAGAAAAACAAAGGAAAAACTGAATACATAAAAGAAGCTCAAGGGGCTTCAAAAAAAGCTAATACAAACAATTCTAAAATATTTCTTACCTTCTTCAGTCATTGTGTCATAATATTTTAGGTTTCCATATGATCCAAGCTCTACAACATCACAGTAAAAGACACAAAGATAAGGAACCAGCAGACATTCAAGAAATGTACATGTTTTTGCATGTGCTTCATAAACTCGAAGAGTGATTATGCAAAACATTCTGCAGGACAACAAAACACAGGTTACAGAAATAGCAGTGCCTTTCCTCCCAGAAATTTCACAAGTCACTGACTTCGGGTAAATGTTAAACTTGTTAGTGAGATGTAGGAGAACCACTGACATCTAAAACGTAGCCTTTTCACAGTTATTGCTGATTTGGTGCCTCTGCATTTGGGAAAACATAATAAACCTTGATAATACCTAATCAGCAGTAATTTTGCAAACTAAGCTCTTTTGCCATTCCCCAAGTCAGACATTCAACTACTTCTGTATAAAAATTAAAAAAACAGTCTCAAAACACATAACTTAAGAAACTGTTCATAATGTTGTCCCACAAACATTGTTTCGACACCAGTGCTGATGTTGGCTTGCTTTAGAGGGGTTACTTACTTTAACCACTCTCTTGTCACTTGTGTAATCAGAAAAAAAGTACTTACTTCATCAGGTGATATCAGACCTACATTTATTATATCATTAAATTGATCTGTATATATTGCATTCCTATATTCTAGCAGGGCAGAGAAAAGAATGGAATGCAGAGATCTCCAGATCTTCATGGCTACTATTATTTTTTTTGTGTGAAACAATCTTGCATGAAATCACCTTTTTATTGCAGATGTTGTTTTACACTTCTTTTCTTGAAGTGCTTTTTTCTTATAATATGGCATATATGTGAATATACATATAACAACAATAAATAATTTAAGTCTATGAAACAGGTAAATGAAAAATTAAGCCCAAGGAGGAATTTGTAAATGATCTGGCTGAGGAATGTCCAGATGATTTCACTCATCATTTTTACCTGAAATTTTACAACTGAGCATCTGAGCATCCAACCTTTGACAGAATATAACCATTAAAAATGTATAGCTAACAGTTTGGTAGTGCTCTTTCCTTTGGAAGTATTCTCTCTTCATATTTACGAAACAGCTTAAGCAATTAAACATAAAGATGATGTCCAATTATTCTGATTTTAGCTGATGCACCTCATGATCTTTCAACAATTTTTCACAGAGGTGGATTTCAGTAGAGGCCTGGCTATTAGTTTTTTACTGAAAAATACTGTGATCATATGCAAACCTTTTGAAAGATCCCTGTTTTAAATAAAAAACTGGAACATGCCAAATTAACATTTCTTAAATCATTTGCTGAGAGAGAGAACACCATATGCCATGTAACTAAAAAATATGGGATATTCTAATTGCTGATTTTTTAATGACTATGATTGGATTGTAATGATTTTTCATATTTGTCAAAAGCAGTTACAATTATTCACATACTCTTGCTTGTACAATGCAGTGTGTCCCATAGAATAGGGACATTAAGTCTCTCTTAAAGCAAAGAAAGATGTAATTTAAAGACAGAATTTGATATATTGTTTTACAGTAATATAGATTGCATATGCTGTTTTGTAAAAATGTTCTTAGTGTTGCAATTGCAACATAATCTTTGTAGCTGCTAGTACATACAAGATGCTGTTGTTCTACCATCTTGATCTTAGTCCTAAAGATTTAAATTCCTTACCTGGAAAGAGCCCCCAATAACTTCAATACTGACTACCCTGCATACAGCATTCGGAACCACTTGTCCTGTTTAATTAGCCAGCACCTTTGCTTATACTTATTCTCACTGATCTCTGCCTTAATGTGTCTGGGGTTCACTTTGCTAGAACCTGGGCTGAGGCTTCCATTGGAGATTGAGCACAGGACTGGAAAAGAGATGCTAAAAGGAGTCTAAATAAGGAAATGGAGGTACATGGGGAAGACAACACTGACGGAGAGGAGCTGCATAAACAGAGAAGAAGGTTGCAGCATAGGAACAAACTTCCAAATTAACAGAACAGCAGACATGAGGCTTCTGACCTAATGGATGAAGCAAAAGAGGTTTCGGAGAAAACCAACAAAAGTGGTGGATTCCAAATGTTAAAAAAAAAAACCAAAACAAACCACCACATATTGGTTCTCATGTTTAGATTATTTGCTTACATCTGAAGTGAGAGATGAAAGACAAACAGGAAAGAAAAAAAGGTGAATCTGATCTTATAGAGACTAAAAAAGGAAGAGAAACAAGGTGACGAATGACAGTGCATGTTTCTGATGATAATCATGTTCTGGGCACTTCAGCAATTCAACACACCAAGGATTAAACTAGGTTAATTCCTGCAGTTAGTAAAATTATGTCCTGGAAAACTCTAATCTTGCTGGTGAGATTACATTATCCAAAGGTTATGGTCCTATACTCAGAGTGGAACATTTTATACAATCATCAGCCCACTGACTGCAATGCACAACAATGACCCCAGAAAATATCAGCTGTACATATTCACATGAATTACTTTTGTGGGTTTCAAAATTACTTGGGCCAGTGCTGCTCAGCAGCATGACAGGTCTGCCTCTCTACAGTCTACCTGTGGAGAATCAAATGTCGGACTGGGAACGATATAAGGCGTGGAGAGAACTTTATGGAAACTGAATGGATTATGAACTTTGAATACATCGAATGGACTTTCTCATCACGGACTGACTGTTGTTTCCCCAGTTATATTGTGTTATTTGTTCTTACTGTTGTACCCCTGTTAGTCGCTGGTTTTTATAAAATTTTAATATACCTCCATGTTAGCCCTTCTTCTCCCTCAGACTTTCCCGCCTAAAGTTGTTTACTCCCCTGTTCTCCCCTGCTTTCCCGCTCCTCTGACACTGATTGGCTGAGGTTTGCCGCAGTGCAGAGTGAGCTCCCATTGGCCCTTTCCCCTAGATACTCCAGGGTTACACCTACCTCTCCCTTGTCCCCCAATCCTCACTCTCCCTGAGCTGTCAGTCCCATGCTCCTCCCCAGTTCTGAATCCTCCCCTCAGACCTACCCTACTTAAGTCCCTGCTTTCCCTTAATAAAGTGGCATTGCTTCACCAACCTTCATCTGTGTCCGGACCCTCATTCGCAGTGCCGCGTCCCCATTCCCTTACCCCTCGGGCCGTGGCATCTACCTCCAATATATTGCACTGGCTTCTGCTGTAAGATTTGGACTAAATCTGCTCTTTGCTGTTTGGTTTAGAGTTTTGCTGTTATAATAAGACACATTCTGTTCAATATGAATTTAAGTAAACTCAAAATGAAGTATTTTTTGAACAAATACTGTATTGCAAAAATTTAACAGCTTTTAAAATAAACTTATTTTACATGGAATTGAAAATCTAAAATACTGTGATAAAGGATACTTGAAAAAATATCCCCAAATTCAACAACAATTCCATTTTTGTGAACATGCTATGCAACTCCCATGGTGAGGTCATAGCAGACAGACTGGATGACAGCCAGTACCTGCATCCCTACTGGTAGCATGAAACAAAGAGGATGCAGAGATGCGGCTTAACAGCTGATCCTCAACAGTTAGAGATTCATTTTATAATTTGTTCCCTTCTGCATATTTTTACACCATAAGAGAAGAGAAGGTTCCTGGTCATCCTGTCAAACATTCCCGAAGGATTACAACAACATTTGCCTTATTACCTACTGTTCTTTGCTGTGTTTGTAGGTGTCAAACCACATCAAAGCAAACAGAAAGAATAATATTGCTACTCAATGGGGCTACATTATTTGTAATTTCAAATTACATTCAAGACAGCCAGCACAGCTTCAACAAGGGAAAGTCCTGCATTATTCAATCCAGTGGCCTCCTACAGTGGAGTGACTACACCAGTGGACAAGGCAAGGGCTACAGATGTCATTTATCTGGACTTCTGCAAGGTCCCTTCAAGCTCCTTCTCTCTAAATTGGAGAGAGATGAATTTGATGGGTGAATAAGGAAGTGGTTGGATAGTCACATCCAGAGGGTAGTGGTCAACAGCTCAGAGTCCTGATAGACATCATGACAAGTGGTGACCCTCAGGTGTCTGTTTTGGGACCAGTGTTATTTAATTATTTAATATCTTAATTAATTACATAGATGAATGGATCAAGTGCACCCTGAGCAAGTTTTGTAGATGACACCAAGCTGAGTGGTGTTGTTGACACACCTGAAGGACAGGATGCCATTCAGAGGGACCTGGACAAGCTCAAGAAGTGGGTCTATGGGAATCTCATGAGGTTTAATAGGACGAAGTGCAAGGTGCTGCACCTGCGTTGGGGCAACCACTGATATCAATACAGGCTGAGGGATGAGCAGATTGAGAACAGCCCTGCTGAGAAGGACTTGGGGGTGCTGGTGAATGAGAAGCTGGACACGACCAGCAATGTGCACTTGCAGTCCAGAAAGTCACTCGTATTCTGGACTGCATTAAAAGCAGCGTAGCCAGAAGGTCAAAGGAGGTGATTCTACTCTTGCTGCAGTGAGACCCCATCTGGAGTACTGCATCAGCTCTGGTGTCCCCCAGGAAGGGCATGGATCTATTGGACAAGTCCAGAGGAGAGCCACAAAAATGGTCAGAGGCCTGAAACACCATTTCTACGAAGACAGGCTTAGAACATTGGGTTTGTTCAGCCTGTAGAAGAAAAGACTCTGAGGAGACTGTGGAGCAGCCTGTCAATACCTAGAGGGGAACTATAAAAAGATGGTGACAAACTTTTTAGTAGGACTTGTCGTGGTAGGAAGAAGGTAGATTCAGACAAGATATAAAAAAGACATTTTTTGTACAGAGAATGGGGAAACACTGGCACAGTTTGCCCAGAGAGAGAGGTGGTTGAAGCTCATTGCAGGGCGGTTGGATTAGATAACCTTTAAAGGTCTCTTCCAACCCATGCTATTCCACAGTTTTATTAAATAATATAGCTATTTACTCAGTTTATTTTCAGTGTTTACTCACTAAGTAATGTACATACAGTCTGTGATGAAATACTCATTTCTGTCTTTTAAGTGTATAGCCCCAGCCTGGCACAGAAGGAAAGCAGAGCCAATA